ACTTTCCTAGTGTGCTCCCCAATGGTGGGCATGACCAGGTTTGCCGGCACGCCCGAGGCTACCAAGTTGTCCAACTTGTCCTTCTTCCACGCGAAAATGAGGGGCTTTCCGGGTCTCTTACCTTGCGCCTTGGTTTGAGAAGACCCCGTTGGCGTCTCAGTTGTAGCGCCCTAACTGCGAGAAGATGGGGAGGCGCCATGCTCACAGTCATGGAGAATGGGCGAGTGATAGGAGGCTTGGCGTGGTTCGGAGGTGGCGGCCGAAGGAGCCTACTCGGAAGGAGCACGACTCTGTTGCACAGCTGATGAGGAGGCAATCCTCACTCGCGTGGGAGCCTTGCCCTTGGGCGGAGGCTTGGCCTTCGTGGCCTTGGCGCGTGCGCGGGGCGCGGGGGGGGGGGGGGGGGGGGGGGGGGATCAGATGAAGTTTCGACTAGATAAAGTCGGAGATGGAAGTGAACTCAGTCCCTGCAAGGATAACAAGTGAAGTGCATGCAACTACCGTCCTCGTAAAACTCTGCCAAAAGGCGGGCGTATTCCTCATTTATTTCGAGGTTAATCGGCTCCGAAGCAAGGCACTTCGCCATCTCTTCTTCGGCCTTATTCAGGGGGGTGCTTATTGAACTCAGCTTCATCGCCAAAGGACCACTGCATAAGGGGTGCCGCGCCGCTTTCAAATAAGGGCGTATCGCGCGGGCGGACAAAGAAGAAAGATTTAAACCACGAGCGCCCCATTTTTTTACAATGACTGATGAAGTTGTACCCAAGCTTGAGGCGCCTCTGAAGACTAAAATAGTTGGGGCTTCGTATCATCACAAAGAAGTGTCGAAGAGTTTGAAGGAAGGAAGAATGTTATGTTGACGACACTTGAGGCGGAAGAGGACAGTGTAAAGAATGATAACAGGCGAAAGGCGCCCGAGCGAGCATTGGCATAAAGGGAGTACGCCTTCGAGGATGGGGTCGATGGGGAAGCGGAGTCCAAAGCGGGCGTACTCTTGGTAAACACGGATCCACCCTTCTCCACAAACCCCGACGCGTGCGGCGGGTGGTGGATGCGCATAGCGCCAATCAGCTGGCATCTGGCCGCTCGTATTAGTTTCATAAAGCGCATGTGTAGTATCTTGGACGCTTTCAAAGGACCGGCGTCTTCCTCAGACATTTGGTAGATATTGCTAGGCATGTACCCAGGCGGCCACATGTTGCCCCATTGCCGTAGCACGTACTGTCGAGGCGCACCGGTGCCTACGTTAGAAGAGGAGGACGAGGTCAAGAAAGGGCTAGTGCAAGGGGGGGGCGCTTTTGAGAAGGTCTCTTACGAAAGAGGCGTTGGTTGCAAAGAAAAAAAATAGGGTTGGTTTTTCCTCTCAACCCCTGCGGCATGACTTTCCTAAGTAAGGCGCATACACCTAAAACTTGACGCACAAGGAGGATAGAGAACTGGGGGGTACCTGAGGCGACGGCAGGAGCCTTCGAGGGCGCAGGGTTGGATAACACAGGTTGATTGGAGGAAGACATCATTGCCGCGTGTTAAGCAAAAGGAGGCGCACACCACTGGAAACGGAAGGCGCCCGGATCGAAACTCGAAAGTGGTTTGAAAGAGGGGAAACTTAGAGAGAGAAAGAAGAGAGATGGTGGTTTTGGAAGAATGAGGAGAAAAGGAGCAGAGGGGGCAATATATAGGGGAGGAACGAGGGGAGATAGAAGAAGCGAGAAGGCAAACGGTCGCCTAGTCTTAAGGAAAATTCGAATTATCCTTCAAACAGGGGGAAGGGGGAATGATCTCGACAATCGAGGTGGAAGCCCAACGGTCTATTTTCAATAAAAGAAAGGAAAAAGAAAATAATAAATAAAAGAAAGGAAACTAGAGGAGGATAGATATAAGGAAGTAGGGGGAGAAGGGCGCAAGGGGTGGCGCGCTCAGTCAGCATGGGAAATTGGAGTCAAGGCGTGTGCGGACGGAAATTCAGGGTAACCCCCCCCCCCCCCCTCGATTTTGCAGCTAAAGGCCCCTTTAAAAAAGAAAGAGAGACGCCCAAGCCAAGTTAAGATTTTCAGGAGGTGGCGTTATGTCAAAGATAAGCTCAGGGGAACAGTAGGAGGCGCGCGAGTCCGTCTGGAAGCGGGGGAGCATGCTGGCAATGAAAGCATTCCGTTTAGGGGGTTGACTAACAGGGAGGCGCATGCCTCCATAGGAGAATCAAGAGAGAATGTACGCGATGGATCGCGGAAGCGTTGAGTGGCATACATGGGATAGTTAGGCCCCTAGGCGCCTAAGTAGGGTGCAATTGTTGGGGGAATGTAAGGGCCCAAGCCAAGAGAGGGGCCCAAAAGACTGGATTGGGCCTGGAGTGTAGGCCCAACAAAGGGAAGGCCCAGTCTAAGAGGGGCCTTAGGGTAAAACCTATCGGGTGGGGCCGGGCCTGACGTAAGGCGCGTGGCGACAAAAGGTGGTAATGGTCGGAAGCGTACGGAGGGAGCAGAAAGTGGGGCCGTGCGCCTCGGGGCCCTTGGAGCAGTGTCAGTATGTCGAGGCGCCTGACAAGAGTAAGGTACAGTGCATTAAATGATGTGATGATGTGGGGCGGATTTGGGGGGCAACGGTCGGCCTAACTTCGGGTATAAATAGTGAAGTTGGTGAAGCTCATTTACTGAGGTTGGATCCTCTCTAAAACTATTCTCCACTTCTCTCTCTAAAACTCTAGTTCCAACTTGGGCGTCAGAGTGCTAACGAGCCCCAAAGAAGGGGCTCGGTGGGTGCCTTTGTGTGCAAGAGTGGAGCGTGCGGCTAGGTGGGTAAGGAAGGAGGTGAGGCGCACTGTAGAAGGCGCAAGGTAACTTGGCACAAACAGGTACTAATTTTCTATGATCAGGTTGCTTTTCTAAATTCTGAGGCATGCTCTTTATTTCTAATTTTGTGACCATGACAACAAAAGCTAAATAACTTCTTAAGCAGTAGTGGAGTAGGATGTGATCTGAAGAGATTAGTGGTTGGGATGAAGTGATATGGACATGGAGTGTACAAATTAGGTTTGCAAATTTGTGTTTGGCATGACAGTCATGATTTGGTGCTCCCTGGGAGTGTGCGAAAGTCTGAGGCAAATTGAAAGGCGATTATCGATCACTTTGCACTTTTAACTTGCTTTAAATTATCTTAATCCATTAAAGATTCAACCAAATACAATTTTGACTTTGTCTATTTGTCCACTCAGCTCCTTTATGCTACAATAATAAAACCACCTCCTGATTAGTGATCAAATTTTGGATCAACTTTCACAATAAATTTATTGTTATCCGCTGCATTTACAAAAAAGAAGGGGAAAAATCATTTCTCGATGGTTAGAGAAAAAAAGTTATCAAATGTCAAAACCCCAAAGAACAAGTATGAAAAAGAGACCTGAGATCACAAAGGAACATGTAAAAAGAAAAGCAAACTCAACAACAATATTTCTGCTAGCCAAGGCCAGAGCCAAAACTTAAATTCAGCCTGTTTGATCGATCCCATTCCAAATTCCAGTTATTTTTTACTTTCAAACTTTCTATTTGAAAATAAAAAATAGTGTAAGAAAATAGAAGACTGCAATTCGCCATTTGCACATCTCTGCTTTGGGAACAAACCCATAGAAGTTCGAAAGGAAACTGAAAATATTTAGGATCGTTTTAATGTTAAAAAATAACCAAATGGATGCGTCTGTTTAGTTTTTTACTAACAAATACCAAACGATTCCCTATAAACACTATAATTTAATCATTATAATATCAAATAATTACATATTATATATTTTAAATGATAAATGATAAAAATTGGACTAATCGGAATGGTTGAGGTTAAACAATTTAATAACTTCAAAATACATTATATTTTAGCCATTAAGATATAAAATAATAGCATAATATATGTTTCAAATTAGAAAAACTAGGCTAATTGAGTTGGATCCTAGGTTAAACATTTAACCCTTTTCGTGAGTTGATGAATGTATTGTTCCATTCGAATTAATAACTTTGACGACAAGTGAAAGTTTTATAAAGAAAATTAATCGGCCAACGGGCTGAGTAAAAACTAGCAACGATAGTAAGATGCTCATTTCCAGAAGACCGGCAGGATATGCAATTTTTATTCGGTTTTCTAGAATTTGGTTTCTACAAACTTACTCTGCCTCGTCATATTACTAGAAATAATGTTGTTTACAGGGTAACAACTACTCGAACTTGGTTCTTAAGGCTGATTTTTAATTCGTTGCATCATCCATACCTCTTTCTTGCTAAAATTTACTATCTTTATCACATGTTTCCAGGAAAAAAAAATATATACAACAATAAGCTATACACCCCATTACATTCTTAAATTTTATACCTCACCTTCTCTGGCCAACTGGTCAGGGTTCCACGCTAGTTACCCTATAATGGATCAATGTTTCATGACATGCGTTCTGCTCAGGCCATTTTGCAGGTCAAGGCGGTTTTTCCAAATGTGAGATTTATTTTGGTGGAAAGTCCATTCGCTACAAGAGTAATGCTCTACTGCTTTTTGGGTTTTAGGAAGGTGCTGTGCTAGTTTGTTACCTGGGACTGCCTTTGATGGCTGGCAAGCTCTCGTCCAAGGAAGTAGACATCTTGGTGGAAAAAATTACAAAGCGTATTAAATCTTGGAGAGCAAAGAAGCTCAATTATGCTGGGAGGCTACAATTGATCACCTCGGTGCTTCTTGGGGTTGTCCAATACTAGATGTAGTTTTTTATTTTTCCTAAAAAGGTTCTCAAACGCATTCAGCAGGTTTGTTCTCACTTTTTATGGCATGGAGAAGATGAAGGTAAGGCTAAAGTGGCTTGGGACTAGGTTTCCCTGCCAAGACAGGAGGGTGGTCTGGGAGTGAAAGACTTACTTGCGTGGAATCAGGCTTGCACGATTCGTACGCTTTGGTTATTTCTCATGAAATCAGGAGCACTTTGGGTAGCATTGATGTATGAATATAAATGCAAGCAGGGTGACTTATAGTCTCTGAGAGTACAATATAGTAGTTCCTGTGCATGGCGGCGGATACTGAAGCTGAGAGCTGTTATATTACCATGGATTCACGTCCAGAATGATACTATTTTCTGGGATTCGCAAGAGATGCAGGTTTATTCGATAAGAAGAGTTTGAGAGACGTTTAGAAGAAAGGCTCCTAAGGTTCCTTGGCATAAACTTGTTTGGAGCAGTGTTTGTCCTCCTCGATACAGCTTAATAGCATGGATTGTCATAAAAAAAGCTATTGTAACAAGAGACAAGCTGTTGAAGTGGGGCAAGATCAGAGATGCCTTCTGCCCTCCCTGTTGGAAGGATACTGAAAATAGAGATCATCTCTTTCTCCAGTGCTCTTTTGCTCGCCAGCTTGCTAATCATATGCATTGCCAACTGTTGAGACACACTGATTGGGACACGATGGTACATGTTGTGAGCACTATAGTCTGCAGCAACACTCAGGTAGGGAAATGGCATGCAGTAGTATGGTGTGTTCTGATTGCATTTATATAGAAGGAAAGATGTGGTTTGGTTCATGGCTCTTCACTCCGGTCTTCTGATAAAGTAGCAGATATACTGAAGGCGGATCTTTTATTTCTAACATGTGGGAACAGGGCAATTCGTGTTAGGCTTACAGAACTTGGATACTTGTATTTTATTTTTATTTTTTATTCTTACACTGTACGTAGGCTGGTAGAGGAAAAGAGTTGTTAGCGAGCTTGTTCTTCTACCCTCGGGATCATGATTCATGGGTTCCCGCTTTGTTGTATCGATTTCTTATTGGCAATAAAAGTTAGTGATTCAACGGGGGAAAAATCAGTGCTGTCAAAGCCGAGCCGAGCCGCCAAAACCGCCACCCGGCCATAAAACCAGCTCGACTCAACTATTTAGCCGGAGTGGTTATTTGGGGCGGCCGGAGAGCGGCCGAAGCGGTTAACCGCTTGAACCGCTCGAGCCGCTCGCCCGGTTTTTTTACCTTTGGGCCGGTTGCTTTAATTAAAAAAAAACTAAAATATCGAAAATGAAAGGGGAGGCTACTGTGCTGAAACCCTAATTTCATTCTTCCTCTTCGCGTAGACAGCCAGACACGAAGGAGAAGCAGCTTCCTCCTCCGCAGCCGCCGTTCCCCGTAGCCCGACGCCGTCGTCGTTCACCATCACTCGACGCCGTCGCCGTTCGCCATCGCTCGACGTCGTCGCCGTTCGCCATCGCTCGACGCCACTCTCCCGTCGCCCGTCTCCATAGTCGTCGTCGTCTTCGGCGGCTCGTTCCCCGCTCCTGCCGGCGAGCGCAACGGCCGGCCGGTGAGGTCTCCCTTCTCCCTTCTCCGGTCACGGCTGCCTCTCCCCTGCATCGACCCCTGCTGTCCATAGACACTCTGCTTCCAGGTTTCTAATAACCCCTGTTCTCCTTTTTCTTTCTACTTTCTATTTGTCTTCCTCATGTCTCTGTGTATATGATATCCATAGAATAGCGCTGTAGATTTCCTCCTCTTGATTCTAATTTGGTCTGAAAGGTGCGACTTTCTTGTTAATTTGGCCGGTGTTATTATTGTGTATACTTGCTTTCTCTTTTGTGAGCTTTCCTTATTACCTGTCTGCATCACATAGTCATCATGTCTTTTCCATCTGTAATATACATCTAGCTAACAAAGAATGAGTTAAGAAAACTAGAAATTGGTTCTGTTGTTGGTTGTCAAATTTCATGAACAAATTGTAAACTGATAAGAACCACGAAAAAGAAAGAGTAACTTTCAGATTGGGTATTTGGGAAACTAAAGTTTCGAGAGTCTCTCAGGTACGTGCAATGGACAAGAACAAATTTCAAGTGATGGGTAGCTCTCTACATCATTTCTGCTTTGCTTGTGTAAATTACATTTGTTCCAGGGGGCATGTCCCTTTTTGTGTAGGAGTAGGATTATTGTCTCTCTGTTGGACTAACGGCAGAGTAAGAGTGATAAATATATTGAAGTTAATTGTCTATGGAGAAGAGTTGGGTGAGAGTTGGGTGGGAACTGATACCATGATTAAGAAGTGTCTACTATTTATACAAATGACTATTTATTAGGTACCGGTTCTCAAACGGGTTTTAAACGGTCTAATGCCGGCTGGACCACTAAAGACCGAGCCGTTCATGTTACCGGGTCATACTCCGGTTCGGTTCTGACAACATTGGAAAAAATGCAAACAAGCACTCTCTCGTTTGGATATAATCCACCTGCTACACTAGTTTTAGAAATAATTTCCAATACCCACTTAACATTAGAATTTTTGCAATTATTCATATTGTAATTGTATATGTTCAAGATAGGGAGAGGGAGCTGACATGGCGTCTCTACAGTTCGGATTATCCTCTTCCTTCGCGAGCCTTCCGACAGCCTCCCGCTTCCGTCGGGTGTCAGTTCGCTGCTCCGGCGATCGGCAGGTCCTCTTCAATCGTATCGCTCCTGTCTATGACAATGTACGCTTCCAAACTTTTCCCCGGTCTTAATTACCAATTTTGTTTGGTTGTTCCATTTCGGGCATAATTTTTGAACTTCCATTCGCGGTTTCGTTTGGGAACTTGCAGCTTAATGATTTGCTGAGCTTGGGCCAGCATCGAGTGTGGAAACGAATGGCCATTTCTTGGACTGGGTATGCTTGCTTTCTATCTTTTCACTCTTTTAATCTCCTCCTATATCGAGATTTCCATAAATAAACCTGGGTTTCTTCGAGGCAGAGCCAAGGAGAAGGACACAGTTCTGGATATATGCTGCGGAAGTGGGGATTTGACGTTTCTTTTGTCTGAGAAAGTTGGGCCTACTGGCAAGGTCTGTTTCTCATGCAAATGCAATTGTGACATTGAGATTGGAATGGTAAATGTTTCCCTCCTTTTCTCCTGCTATGTCTTGTATAAGGACGGGCTTTTCATTGACGATGTGTAGGTAATAGGGGTGGATTTCTCAAAAGAGCAGCTGAATGTTGCTTCATCTCGGCAGAACTCCCGGTGGAGAGCATGCTACGAGAGCATAGAGTGAGCATTGGTAATTTTGTGTACATCGGTTAAGAACGTGGAATGGTCTTTCTTTGGTATCTAGTTGTATATATCACTTCTTAGAAGATCAATTACATATGAGAGTGTTACCTGAATTTCTTTTCAATTGTGGTTTATCCAGAATAGTTCCAGCTTTTCTTGAATAACAATAGTTATGTAAGCCTCAATTTTCGTTGTCAAAGGTAGATGATCCATATACTTTATCTCAGGTTTGTAGAGGGCGACGCCACTGATTTGCCTTTCTCCAATTGTCAATTTGATGCCATCACCATGGGGTATGGTCTACGGAATGTGGTGGACAAGAAAAAGGCAATGCAGGAGATGTTTCGAGTCCTCAAACCAGGTTCCACCTTCTCAAATAGAATGACACACAACTTCGTTTTTTTTTCTTTGTGCAAGTTTATTTTACATTTTGTTACATTTACAGGGGGGAAAGCATCCATTCTGGACTTCAATAAGAGCACCAAACCATTTGTTGCCTCGTTTCAGGTACTACTGAGTAAATGAACTGTTGTCTTAACTTCATTTTAAATGGCCTGCAAAGTTTTCTGGCTATAGAGCATATAGTCAATTCCAAAGTCCTGGCCAGAATTGTTCTTTTGTATCTTCTTTGCTTTCTTTGATGTTTTCCAATCTTCTTGTATACTGTTGCCATTTGTAGGAATGGATGATCGACAATGTAGTTGTACCTGTGGCAACCGGATATGGTCTGGCAGAGGAGTATGAATACTTGAAGAACTCTATTAGAGAATTTTTAACTGGTTTGGCTCTATACACTTTGTATTCCAAAAGATTTGTGCCATCTTTTTGCATTTTGTTATGACGATAATTTGCACAGCCAACGTCTCTGAAGCATGTGATAATCATCTCATGTGCAGGGAAGGAGTTGGAGGAACTTGCTATACAAGCTGGTTTCTCCATGGCCTCGCATTATGAGTTCAGTGGGGGATTGATGGGGAACCTTGTAGTGACTCGGTAGACTGGATTGTGCAGTCTATTGGGTCTATGATCCTTAAATTACTCTACGTAACTGGATATCTGTGAATGAAAGCTGATTTCTGCTGACATCGTAAGGTCTCTGGAACCACAAGTCGAATGGTGTCAACCAATCTTATTTCTCGGGATCTCTCATCACTCTTTGGCAAGTGTAAAAGTCCAACAGCAAACAGTAAGATGAATTCATTCTAGTGATGCATGGAGAATGCTCTACTTAATTTGGGAAGTAGTTCGTTTTCAAGGTTTCGATGCCCCCTCTAGCATGCTATTTTACATGTCTTTTATTGAATACATTCCCGAGTTCCCAAGTTACTTTTACTTCACAGTTCATACTGCAAACAATGCATGGCAGCAAGCAGGCCGCCATTTGCAAGGTCAGAATGAGAAGGGAATTGATCTTGTTACATGGCATAAGATCACAAAATATATATGGGCTCCACTTGTAACCTACCTACCTACCTACGATTCAATAATCCAATGCCAATCCACTAGTGAAACCAAGCAGACCTCATCTTGGATGGAAAGAACTGTTGTCAAGAATAGCTACTGATTTAGGTTCAGATTGCGACATGAAAAACTCCCAACTCTCAAGAAGTCATACCTGGGGTTGCTGTTGTGGTGGTTGTGCAACATTAGGTTTGGATTGTACATTTCTTCCACTACCCGCCTGGAATTATCTCCACATCTGAAAAAGTTGGTCACATCCAGGATAACCACATCATTGCCTCTTGAAACTGCATTACATGATTCAGGCTCTTGAATGAAAAACTTACCGACTTTGCCAAGCTTTCTGTATATTAAGAGGCTTTGCTTCTGTTGTTATGCTTGCCTGTAACAATCTCAAGCAGCAGCTATCCAAAACTGTAAACACCTTTTTGGGATTTTTCCAGAAATAGCACTGTTTAAAAAAAAAATTCCAAAAATAGCACCCAACTCCGAAATATTCCAAAAATAGCACCCTTTTCCAAAAACCGCTCCCTACCAGTGCGGTTTAGACGAAAACCGCCACCCAGGGGGCGCGTTTTTCGATGAAAACCGCACCCCCAGGGGGCGGTTTTGCAGACCGCACCCCCACCATGCGATTTGTTTGCAGATCGCACCCCCAGGGTGCGATCTGCTTTTTTTTTTTTTTTTTTTTTTGAAAAATCCTAACCTAGGTGGAAACTTCAAACGAACGTATCTTTGTGTTCGGGTATCCAATCGTCGAAATTTTTTTTTTGATTCTGCATAACTTTTTGAGATCTTGCAAGCCAAAGGTGGATTGGTCCCGCCTTCATCCCAAAAAATGTCATTTGCTACCCCGAACGAGCTTTTTTCCGATTTCGTCAAACTTTGGACAACCATAACTTTGTGCTCCAAAATCAAAACAACATGAATTTTTTTTTTATTTCGCATAACTTTTTAAGGACTACAACTTTTATCATAGACACAATTTCAAAATGTACGTGGATTGCTGAGAAGGGAAGGTAAACTATTCCCAAAATCCTGTATATCCAAAAATAATTCATGTTTTGAAAATTCATTCTAGTAAAAATTGTACTCCTTAAAAAGTTATGCGAAGGGGGGAGGTAACAAGGCGATTCTCCAAATGCCAGCGCCGGGTTCATCAATCGAGAAGGAGAGTCGGGCCGACCAATCGGGGACACGAGAACAGGATGGAGCTACCACTCTTAATGGGATGGCATGTGGCAATCTGACCTTCAATGATAATGACGGAGGGGTTGTGATGCCAATGAGGAAGGTTGAGAAGCGTCATGGGCGCAGGGAAAAGGAGTGGGCCGACTGGGTGAGGTTAGTCCCAAGACCTCTGTTGGGCGTCAAAAGAAACAAAATGGAGGCATCTCAAGTAGGGTATTTAGGCCAAATGGGCCCTTACATGTCGGGGAACGAACAGGCCCAATAAGCGGGTTGGACCGAATGGGAAAGGGCCGGGAGGAGTCGTGGAGTTGGCCTAAGCCCATAGGGGTCGGTTCTGGAGTGATGGGTCGTCTGAATTGGGCTCATTCCAAGCCGCTAGGTCATCGACCCACTTGGAAGCAGGAGAGAGTAGGCCGAGCATGCAGGATCCAGGAGTCACTGAGGTGGGGAGGATTCAAACTAGTGAGGAGGATGCCACAACCCTATTCCGAGGTCAAATTGCGACCTTGGAATTTCCCAAGTTGTGCAGAATTACATGGACATGACATGGGAAGATTTTCGAGTAGAGTTATGGAGAGGTATTAAGCTTCTGAGAAGGCTACGACACATGAAGCCTTGGCTAAGATAAGGCAAACAGGGATAGTGGAAGATTGCCAGCAGGCTTTTGAGAAGCTATTGAATCTCTTCAGCTGGTGGAGTAAGGATGCAATTATGGGAACCTATATGGGAGGTCTCAAGTCCAAGAATTCTGCTTATAGTTGCGCGTTTGAATCGCGAAATAGCAGGAGGCCTACCATTTGGTCATGATTCGAGAGGAGGAAATTCAGATTGAGTGGGAGTCATTAGAGGGACGGCATACGGGCCAGTGGCATTCCAACAGAAGGTGGTTCCAAGTCCCACTCTAGCACCACTTCCGCCTTCGACACAGTAGAATCGAGGACCCATGGTGGCAAGGTGAGTCATTCGTTACTTAACTCTGGAGGAATCTGCCAAACATCGCCATGATGGTCTCTGCTACAACTGCGTAGTGGACGATGATGAGCAACCTCGAGACGAGGTTGCCTGAAAGGGAGAGGATTGATCCATTCAAACTTGCTGGGCTATGTTGAACTTTCAATTATTTATTATTATGTTTATTTGGGACAATTTATGGTTTATTTGGTATTATTATTTCTTGTTGAGTAAGTTGTTGTTTAGAAATCGGATTATGATTCGTTTACGTTGGTTAGGAGGTAAAGAGTTTATATATTTTCTCTTATAAATATGTACTTTGTGTCTACATTTTATCTATCATAAAAGAATAAATAAGCAATTTTAGTTTCTTTAGTTTTATTTGCTACAACATTTCCGACGCGTGAACCGATCAGGGGAGGGAGACTCAGCGCGACGGGTTCTCGAGCTCGTCCTTCTCGCCGGTCGCAAGAGGTAGTGATGAGTTGGATCCTGGAAATGAAGGGCAGTCCCCAGTCGAGGAGGAGAGGGAGACTCGGTGGCGTTCTCATCTTCTCGAGTTTGTCTTTCTCTCTGGTTGCCAGAGGAAGAGCTGAGCTTCAAAACGATGAAGGGCGATCGAGAAGGGGAAGGAGACTCGACATGGCGGTGGGTTTGGCCATTATGCTCTTGGAGGTTCGACATCGATTTTTTTTTCCAATTTCGTCACATAAAACAACAACGTTTCTTTGAAAATAGCCTACCACCGGTTTGAGCTAAATTGGGCGGTATTTTTTTTTGTTGAACCGTAAAAACCGACCAATATGGTAATTCTTTTAGTACAAAGCCTACCGTTTTATTTTCGGTTCGATTCCCGGTTTTTCTAGGTGAACTGACTGGTATGTTCTAGTTTCTTACTCCATGGAAAATACTTAGATAGAGTTCTTGTGATGGATGTGCTTATATGGTTTTGATTATAGGTGTCAAAACATGACCCAACCCGAGTAACCCGCCCAACCAACCCGATCCGCAACCTGGCCGCAACCCGATTTGACTAAAAGTCAAAGACCTGCAATGTGCACGACCCGCAAATCGATTTACCAGTAACCTGATTAACCCATAACCCGATTGACCCACAACCTGCTTGACACGAACCCGATTGACCCGCAACCCGACTTACCCGAACCCGATTAACCAAACTCGAACCTGTCCGATTGGCACGAATAATACTTCAAAATATATTTTTGTGCATAAATATTATATGTAGAGAATATACATGCATATAAAAATATATGGTTGACTTAATTAAGCCAAATATATAGCAGTATCTAATAATTAGAACATTTTTTCTTCCACACATAATATAACCGGTTACATAACATTGTAAAAATATTAACCTAATATAATAAGATTCATAATAGTACATAAGTCATAACTCATAACCTAACTCCAATTATAAGAAGATACATAATAATTTGCTTACTAAGTTCTACCATATCAAAAATAGTAGGATACAAATCCATAGTTGTCATTGTCACATCTTACATACCAACAAGGAAAGAACAACTTTGTGTCTTCAATTTTGTGTGAAAGGAAAGAATAATTTCTGGTGCATTCAAATTTGGTATTTCAAAACTTTAGTATTTCAAATATGAATCTTAAATTTTTATGTGCAGGGCATTGCTAATTGATTATGAAAAGGCTAATTGACTAAATTAGATTTGAGAATCTATTATGAGTTATCTCGTCTTCAATATACTATCGCTCGAACTATCTCAAATTCATGTTATTTTACATTATAAATTATATACTTAATTACTTATCAATTTGATTAGTACAATGTTTTCATATGATAGTTTCGGAGTTTAACATTTAGTGACTAGGACATTGTCTATAGTAAACATTACTATAGCATTATAGAACATGACTAATTGGATATAATAGATTTGGGAACATACCATGAGTTGTCTTATATCAATCACGTCATTCGTACTTATCTAGCTATATGAACTAATTTAGCAACTTTCAAGGTATAGAGTTATATATTTTCAAGTTTAAGATAGATATGTTTATATAGTATTGTTTATGGCTTTAATAACTAAACGAGTAATTGGTTATAATTGGTTTGAAAACTTATCATGAGTCATCTAATTTAATAACTTATGATAAACAACATACTTATGCGTTTACATTTGTTATAGCATATGGATGACGTACGCTAACATAATCTATATATAACATAACAAAAAATAAATATATCATTAATTACAATTAACGTTACAAATAAAGTGTATACATGTTAGGTATACATGTAAAAAAGTGTTGCATATATTTTTGGGAGTGTTGCCTAAAATAGTGTTGTATATGTAAACTTGTGTTGCATATAGGGTATACTTATGCAACAGATATTTTTTGTTCCAAAAAGTGTTGAAAGTGTTACCTATTGCTTTAGACAACACCACCTATAGAGGACACTACTAAAAGTGTTGCGTAATGCACATGCAACAGTTTTGGCACTTCTTGCAACACATTTTGAGTGTTGGCAAATGTCACTTTTCCCGTAGTGCATTTTGTCATATTTAATAGTGTTTTAGCCTTTAGTTAACTTGCGTCTAATCGACAATCGGAAAAACATGGATTAATGAATAAAAACCATACACGAGAGAAGGGGGGAATTCATTTAAGGTAAGTCCTACCAAAAGAGAAAAACTTGTCTCATTGACAACTTTAAAAAATCTAGGTTAAAGAAAAAATTGGTTTTAAGGTAAGTCATTTAGTCTGCGCTTCACAACGGTCATAAATTAACTATATTTTCAATTTTATCAATATATTTAATAATTTAGTTAAAGTCAAATAACTCATAAAATTGTTGGAATAAGATACTTCTTTGAGTTTTACGCAGTGTCCTAACTATTATCAAAGGCACATGTCATACATTGGTTAAGGTGATACATAAGAAATGAATATCCATTCATATGTTTTATGTAGTATCATAATCATTATGAAAAAATCAAATAATAGGTTTATTTAGTCTATACATAAGAAATTATTAAACCTTCATGTAATACCTTTGTTTATTTTATACATAAGAAATAGTTATTTCTCCATAAAACTTACATAATGTATTTTCAATTCACGTAAATTTTATATAACATTGTTAAATAAATCTTCTTTAATATGTGGTCTAATAATAAAATTAAGTTATAGAAAGTATCACATTTTACTAAAATGTTATGTAACCAATCTTGCAAAAGAAATGCATAATACAAATTGTGTGCGATCTGGCTTGATAGTAAGACGGCACACAATTTGAGGGAAAATATGAGAAGAAAGAAAGAAATGTGGAAGTTGTCCACAAAGAATGGGGGAGATGGGAAAAAGATGGTGTGGGGAAAATATCTCACAAGAGGACAAATGGAGGGGAAGGGTGAAGGAGTGGTGTGGTCCACTCCTTTTTATTTTGATAACTGATAGATTATTAATAGGGGTAGCCAGCCTGCATGGTGTATTCCTTTTCCTTTATTCAAACAAGTCCAAAAAAAACAAAGGTCAATTATCACCCAAAAATTCAACAAGCTGTTTAATCCAATACACTTTCTCACTAGTACTCTACCACAATTCTAGTGGGAGAATGGCAGGTTTGTTTGATGACCACATGAACGCTATTTATGATTCACAGTGACCTCCGTGGTGTTGAAATCCTTCAGAAAGATGACGAGGACCAAAATTAGGAACCGATAGAAATCAAACTTTGAGAAGCCCAAAAGTACAGGGGAAATGAGATAGCTACGGATCTCAAGAACAACAAGGAAGTTAATGTTATTGTCGGTAAGGGCGGGGGAAATGCCAATACCTCTACCACCTAAGAGAAAGCCAAGGGAAAGACCATTACGTCTGCTAAGGGTGCCAACAACAAATGAAGAAGCCGAAGTCATCATTCTACCCTTACTGATATCAAATTGATGGCGTTTGTAGAAAGCTAATATCTTTCAGCTGGCTATCTGCATTTTGTTATCTGTTATCTGGTCGAGGGAGGAATGCATGCAAGTACTTTTATCGTATAACTTCATAATATAACAACGCTCAATAAATAAATCATGGTGGGTATATATCACCACCGTGATCCTCTGTGTGTTTCAATTTGTTGTGTTGTTGTGATGCATTTTATATTATTTTGAAGTTATATGATCTCGGACTTTGTGGCTTGCACTACTTTGTGTACTTGTGGTCGAGTTGAATGAATAAACATTGTATCTATCAAAATAACTAGCTAGTTAAGAGATGAGTATAATCTTGTTCGTCATCATTCATGATACTTAACTGTAATATACTTACAATGATACTTAACTTTTGAGATTTGATCCTTTTTACTGTAATATACTTACAATGAGTATCTGATCTCGGACTTTGTCGTTACGGTTTCCCATTGAGATTTGATCCTTTTTACTGTAATATACTTACAATGATACTTAACTTTCGGTAAAAAATACTATAATTTTTCTATTAAATTATAATGTTTGTACAAAATTTTAAAATATTATCATTGTTTGTTGGCCATTTATTTGATATGTATATACATAGCCGAACCTTTTATGTATATTTTACAAAAATGCTTGTCAAGGTAGGTAGGAAAACCTCTAGAGAGAAGCAAGAGAACACAAAGTGGAACTCATCGGCTTATAAAATTTCCACGGAAAATTTAAGGGGGAAAAACTTAAGTTTTATAATTGAATTGTACATTGAGCTATAAAATTTGGTGGTTAATGATTCAATTACTAATTATCAACATTAAATTGATTTCGTCAAAAACAATTTTCACTTTTCACTTTTATTCCTTCAGACCCATTATGGGTTTTCTCTTTCTCAAACTCACAAGCCCTTTGCTTTGTATCACCAAACCGACCCTACCTTTCCTCCCAACAATTGTAGGTGGTCTAAATGGTAGTACTGCAAGCTAGAGGAAAAAGAAGAAAGTAAGTGCATGGAGCATGGGCAGCCAAATGTTGAAAATAAATAATATAGCAGGTTTTTTTGTCTTTTGGTATATTTCTTGATCATTACAAATGACATATGTAATATATTTTTTCAATTGATACATAAAAAATAATTGTCTATTTGTAAGATTTATGTAATTTTTATAGAACAATGTTACCTAAATATTCAGTAATGTATGGTTTATAAAATAGAGTTATGAAAAATATCACATGCGATTGAAGTACAATTGAATAGTATGAACAATTCAGTTATTTTTAATATTTTCATCACATGCGATATTTTTTTTTCACTTGATTGCATTATTAGACCACACATTATGAAATATTTACGTAACATTGTTCTGTAGTAGTTTGTACATTATAAACACATCACGTATATCTTAATTATGGAGAGATATATATATTTTTATGTATCAATTAAGCAAATATATTAGGTATGAATTACATATATCTAAATTTCAAAAAGATTATACGTGTGCATTTCTATCAAATCAACTTCGGTAATTTTAATATTTTAATCAAATAATCAAATGTGATTTTTTCACTTGATTGTATTATTAGACTACACATTATGAAATATTTACGAAACACTATTATATAATAGTTACATACATTATAAATTCATTATGTAAAACATATGCAGAGATAAATGTTTCTTATATATCAATTATAATTTTCTATAATGGCTATGTATATTACGAATGCATTAGGTAAAAACTTATAGAGAGGTAGATATTTTATGTATCGATTAAAAAATATACTAGATATGAATTACATATGTCTACATTTCAAAGAAGCATACCACGTGAGCATTTTCATCAAATTCGCTTCATTTATTATTTTTAATATTTTCATTAAATAAAATTCAGTTATATTTAATATTTAAATCGAATGAATTTTTGTAATTTAATTTTATTATATCACATATTAAAAACTATTTACATAACACTGTTCTACACATTTTAAAATGTTTTCTAATATTATTTTTCCTAAATAATATTTTATTAAAATGTTGTACTTTTTGTAATATTTGTTATTTTCTATAAAAAATTAATTAAATGTGCTACTTTTCCTAAATTGTTTTCATGACTACACGTTATAAAAGATTTACGTAACACTGTTCTATTACAATTACATACATTAAAATGCATTCTTTAAAGTTTATGGAGAGATTAATATTTGGGTAATGTCTATTTTTTATCCAAACTTTTTAGATTCTTTTATTTTATCCAAACCTATTAAAATGTT